GATGTCCACGACTTCTAATGTACATTATTACAAAGGTAATGACTATAGACCTTCTGTTGAAATCATACTACAGAAAATCGGAAATCGAATGGTGAAGATATTAGACATCAAAGATCACTCAGTTCATAACGAACACCTGGACAAAGTGACAATAAATGAAGTAGGTCGTTCCAATTATAATATTATTGATTCCGCTAATAATCCTGACCTTGTAGATAATTCAGGAATAAGTCTAGATGATACTGATGAAAATGATATCACAGAATCAGTTAGGTCGAAGCTACTTGCAAGCAAACCGAGACATCGTTATAAATACGCGAGGAGATATTCGACGTGTGGCGGATGTGGTGATTGACAATTTCTATCTCTGTATTGTTTAAAATACTTACTGTTGACTGTTGATATGTTTCTTATATGAATTGCATAATAATTCCGCGAAATACAAATTCCTGTTTTGCCCTCTCGGTGTTTTGGTTGGATTCGTGTAATTCGGTCATCTCGAAATACTAATATTACAAGTACAACAAATTACTACAAATTGGCGTCGCGATGGAACTAAATAACCTGGGAAAACTTCCTCTAAATGCTACTCCGCGAGAGATTGCTGATTATTTGGAATGCTTCGATGCGTGGTGCATTTCCAAGAATGTTCGGGATGACAAAATACCAGCACATTTCATCACTGCCATTGGGCTTGATGCATATAGCCTAGTGAAGACTCTGTCGTTTCCAGATAAACCTATTTCTCTGTCATATGACAAGATTCGTGAAATTCTGACTCATCACTTCCATATAACTACTTTTGAGACGCGAGAGAGGGCTCAGTTCAATAAACTGGTTCGTGCTCCCAGTCAGAAGATTAGAGACTTTATTCTTCAGCTTCAGATACAAGCTTCAAAATGTAACTCTGGAGATCAGCTGCATACTCAACTACGTGATCGTCTAATTGCTGGAATCGATATTCCTAAGTTAGAGAAAGAGTTAATTCAGATTCCTTCTTGTACCTTTCAAACTGCTAAAGATTTATGTATTACATATGAAGATGTCAATAATGAATACTCCGCTCCCACTACGTCAGTATCTGATGTTATGCTTTGTAAAGTCGAAAATACAAGTGGTCATGGAAAGCAATCCAAACTGCCGTCCACAGGTAATAGAATGCAGCGAGAGATCAAAAACATTAAACCGTGTTTTTCCTGTGGAAAGTTACATCTACGAAGCACTTGCCGTTTTCGGGGTGCTAAGTGTCACAAATGTGGTAAAGTTGGACACATCAAGACGGTTTGCAGAAGTTCGAATACTTATGTTGCTCAACATTCTTATAATTCTCCCAAGCTGTCTAGTAAAATGGAGCCAATGTGTCTTTCAACTTTTCAAAATACTCAAGCTAATCCAATGAAAACCTCCACTACAAGTTCGGCAACTCAAGTGTCAACTGTTTTCAAAAATGAGGTAGCTGAGTTACAATGTGAACTGTCGAAAACACGAAAAGACCTGAATGAGATGAGAGAGCAACTGATTAAAATTGAGGAATTACTGCATATGCATAGACTGCGTCTGTCGAATGCAGAGCATACAAGTACCCGTGAAAGTCCTGCAAAACTTTTCAAATCTCGAATTCTCAAAAAGCATCTGATGTCCACGACTTCTAATGTACATTATTACAAAGGTAATGACTATAGACCTTCTGTTGAAATCATACTACAGAAAATCGGAAATCGAATGGTGAAGATATTAGACATCAAAGATCACTCAGTTCATAACGAACACCTGGACAAAGTGACAATAAATGAAGTAGGTCGTTCCAATTATAATATTATTGATTCCGCTAATAATCCTGACCTTGTAGATAATTCAGGAATAAGTCTAGATGATACTGATGAAAATGATATCACAGAATCAGTTAGGTCGAAGCTACTTGCAAGCAAACCGAGACATCGTTATAAATACGCGAGGAGATATTCGACGTGTGGCGGATGTGGTGATTGACAATTTCTATCTCTGTATTGTTTAAAATACTTACTGTTGACTGTTGATATGTTTCTTATATGAATTGCATAATAATTCCGCGAAATACAAATTCCTGTTTTGCCCTCTCGGTGTTTTGGTTGGATTCGTGTAATTCGGTCATCTCGAAATACTAATATTACAAGTACAATATAATACTATAATACTTTTTTATGTTTAGTTAAACCTAGATAAACTCTCTTCTTTTGACGAAACCGGAATATAGGTAACAGATTTCTCAGTAGGCAGTGTAATACATGTAAGTTACATGTTTTAGTGACATTAACTGGATCTCCACTCACTTTCAGTATTAATCTTTAATTCAGTTGGAATAAGCTTGTTGAGCACATCAGTATTAATAGAATACAGTGAAAGTAAGTAAACACATGCTTCTTAAGATTAAGTGATACATTTATTTGATATGATTGCATTATTACTATTTGTCTATCTAAGTTAATGATGAATTCGTTGCTATAATAATACCTATTATTGTTTTTATAGTCACTATGAACATGAGTGTTATTATTATTGCTGTCAAGACCTATTATTTGTCATAAAGTGGTTGTCATTTTGCTAAACTTTGAAAACTACTGCATAACTTGTCGTTAAATAAATTTATCATCTCATGATGCTTCGATGGACCTACTACATATCGACAAACGACAAGTTGAGAAGACCCTTAAGTTTAGTGAAAGCTATTGGACTACTTATATATATATATATTGTTTGTGAAGTGATTACATCTGTCAATGCCGTTGAAGATTCAACGATCAATTCTTGGTTGTTTGCTCAAAACCAACTTCCCCAATTTTCGCGGAGCCATCAATACGACAGTCATCGTCTCATCGGCCGCTGTTCAGAAAGAAGTCAGCAGGAAACCGTCAGAATTAATATTGTGATTAATTATTGTAATATTTGTTCACAGACCTTAGTGGAAACATTTTTTATGTGTTCTTGTTACTATAAAGAATTCGCAAGCGACCAATCGGTGTTTTGGTTATTCGTCCGTTATAACTAAGCGTTTCTCAAAAATCTGCAAGGAACAGCGTGGGCCCGGGCGTAGCGAGAGCTGGGCATTAACGGTTTACGAGACGTGACTGACAGTTTCTGACGGTAAAAACAGATCTGGCGGATTCAGACAGTCGGAGAAAGTTTGGATAGTCACCGTTCATCTTTCCTGGTGCCGGCCAAGTCCTCTTTGAACAAGCAATATCTGGAACGTTTTTGGAATTTGCTCAAGTCCAACAATGCCTGGGTCAAAGAAGGGACAGAGTGTCTTGGATGCAAACAGGAGAGTAAGTCATGGTTACTTGTCTGTTAATTGTAACGATGTGTCTGATGTTAAGTATGACATGGTTGATGTTACTGTTTCGCCGTTCAGGGATAATAGGAACATCAAACTCCCTAAATTTAAACCACGATGTTTTGATGGAAACCCGGCTGATTATTTACAATTTGTAAAGGAGTTTGAGATCATGTTGAGTAGTTTTCTATTAAGTGATGAATTGAAATTGATGTATTTGATGAGATATTGCACTGGAGATGCTTCAAGAGCTATACAGTGCTGTAAGTTTATGAAGCCAAAAGAGGGCTACTACGAGGCGATGAGCATATTACGTCAAAGGTTTGGAAGACCTTCGATGATTGTAAGGAAAGTATACGAAGCTGTCAAAGGTAACGGCAGTCAACTAGAAGATGACTCCAAGGCATTTACTTAGTTTTTAGATAATCCTATGACTTATAAGAATACCTTGATTTCGATTAATTGCATGAGTGACCTCAACTCCAGTTTTATACTAGAAGTAATAGCAAGACGTCTACCTACTCGACTGCAAAGGAAGTGGGTGAAGATAAGCTCCCGTATGGTGGATGAGGGTATCGAGCCAAAGTTTGATGATATCGTGAAACTGGTAAATACTAGTGTCAGCCAAGCCACATAAACCGTTAATGCCCAGCTCTCGCTACGCTCGGGCCCACGCTGTTCTTAGAAGATTTCCAGAAACGCTTAGTTATAACGGACGAAAAAACCAAAACACCGATCTGCCGTTTGATATTTCTGTATTGTTACACCAACATATAAAAGGAATAAGCGAACTAAGACTAAGGTCTGTAAACAAATATTACAATAATAAATCGTTATGTTACTTCTGACGATATTTTACTCTTCTTTCTGAACAGCGACCGATGAGACGATGACTGTCGTATTGATGCCTCCGCGAAAATCGAGGAAAATGATTTTGAGCAAACAACCAAGAATTGATCGTTCAATCTTCAACTCCATTGACACTCCCCGGCAAAATACGGATCCAACCCTTTTTTCCTTCACGACCAATGCACGTTGACTTGGATGCCATTGCGAGAACCTGGGTCACACGGACAGAGCTGAAATGGAAAACAAACAGAAAAGCCAACACACCACAAGCATACCCACAGCACAATCTCACACATCGCTGACGACCTGCGCCTCCAGACAGAGACCTCCTCTTGACATCTTGCAACACAATCGCCACTTGCTAGAATGACTCTTGCAGAATGCAACGTGACCATAGCAGCACCTCACGATACTCTACGCACATCCTCTTATCTACTCACTACCAATTACCACTGAAATCGCTTGTCACTCATTCTGCCTCAGTTCTAGTAGCGGTGACGCATGCGAGCCTCAGTCGTTTACACTCTTTCTCCCCGGCGTGTCGGACCGCAGCTAACAATTATCTCCGTGTGCATTTCATTCTCAGCAATAGCCTAGCCTCCCCGGCGTATACGACCCATCTGCTGTCCTTAACATCAATCAATTCATTCACGGATGTAGAAGACTGGAAACAACTTCAGAAGTAATCACGACGAAAATTTTAACAAAATTATGCAATAAAAACAAGGCACGAAAACAACGAGTAAACACAATGAATCCAAAATCACAAATTGCGAAGACACACCACACGTATACACAAACAGTACAAATAACCTCGCGGATCATGTCTTGGTGGAATTATTTTGAAGAATTGCAGGACTTACACCAGTACGCCTACAACCCTTCACAGGTTGACGATTGTAAGTTGTGGAATGTCCGGACACAAACAAGATTAACCAACAATTACATCAATTGGAACTCACACAACTATTTAACACAAACATATGTACAATCAACACATCAAATGTTGTGGATTCTGACACGACAAACTACCCTTGAAGAACTGTAGGACTTACAGCAGTACGCCTACATTCCTTCTCAGGTTGATGATCCAAGTGGAAGTCGTCCGGACACAAACAGAATTACCAACAGCTAGATGACAGATGATATCAATTCAGTATATACAATATGAACATATGTACAAGATCATACACCAAGCACATTGGACTGCTCATTGATGCGCTACCCTTTGAAGAACTGTAGGACTTACAGCAGTACGCCTACAACCCTTCTCAGGTTGACGCCCTAGGTTGGAAAATCGTCGCAGAGTTCATTTGCTAACTTCCTTCTATCAGCTATATCCTCAAATCTGAACGGCAACACGCCCATGTCATTGTATCGTAGAATATAGATGACCAACAAACACACGACATATCTCATCAACCAAGTGTAGAAACAGAGTAATTTACACCAAAGATAATAACATTCAAATAGTAACTTGAAACTAGAAATGCCTTTATTCATGCAAGTCAATTTAACAATTACTCTCTCGTTTACACTTGGCTTATCCTCACTAAACTGAGCAATATCTTTCGTCTTTTCAAACGCACCAATACTATCATAGTCATTGCATAAGATACTTGAGTTGATGGGCATCTGTTTCATTGTGGATGAAAACACCAACGATGACTGAGTGACACAAGGTGATGAACTTAGCGGTGGATCAGAAGCTGTTCTTTTTCGGCTTTCAGATAGTTGTCCAACTGCAAGATTACCACCACTGCTGTCTTTCACTACTAGTTCGGGTTTAGCACTATCATCTGATGATAGGTGGGCTACACGCTGATCAATTACACTGACTGTCTCACAAGTATGCACACCTTCTGGAACTGCATCTGCGTTCAATTCTACTTCACGTTGTAGTTGTACAGAACCTTTATTTAACTTAGCAGTAGTAGGCATATCCCTCATCTCATAATGATCAACCAAAGACAAATCTGCACTATCATGATCATTACCACAAATATTCAATTTACCGTCAAGTTCATCATTTTCAAACTCTTTAATAACAGAAGTAGACAATTTTGGTTCCTCCTCACAAATCATTAAAGGTTTTATTCTTCACTCTGACTAGTTATACTTGTAAACTTGTGGAGTCAGAACTGCACTCTGAAGCAGTAACTCTATTCTGTGACACTCTATTCAACAACGGCTTACCAGTTGCAACTACAGACTTCTTCACCGCACCGTTATCGTCACACAATTCGGAGTCAGGCCTGGAGTTTACATTTAGCTTATCACTGAACTTGCTCACTGGTTCACAGTTCACTTCTGTATGCACCTCTTGCACACGTGTAAAACACAACCGTGTTTGTCTTGCATCTTGTAACTTATCTGTTGAGGATGTACTACGAAACCTGTTACACTCACTAGGTCTATATGCATTACTAGACATCATGGAGCCTTCTCGATATCCACCTCTCTGAGGCCTATTCGTCATCAATGATTGCATTTTATTCTCAGACTGCTCTATTCTAGGGGTGAGATCTAATAGACTAGCGAACTTGCTCATAGATTGATTGACACTAGTATTTACCAGTTTCAGGATATCATCAAACTTTGGCTCGATACCCTCATCCTCCATACGGGAGCTTATCTTCACCCACTTCCTTTGCAGTCGAGTAGGTAGACGTCTTGCTATTACTTCTAGTATAAAACTCGAGTTGAGGTCACTCATGCGATTCATCGAAATCATTCCATTCTTGTAAATTAGCAAATTATCTAAAAACTCAGTGAGTGCCTGGGAGTCATCCTGTAATTGACCACCATTACCCTTAACAGCCTCGAATAATTTCCCTGCAATCATCGAAGGTCTTCCAAACCTTTGACGTAATATGCTCATAGCCTCGTAGTAGCCCTCTTTTGGCTTCATAAACTTACAGCACTGTATAGCTCTTGCAGCATCTCCAGTGCAATATCTCATCAAATACATTAACTTCAATTCATCATTTAATAAAAACCACTCAACATGATCTCAAACTCCTTTACAAATTGTAAATAATCGGCCGGGTTTCCATCAAAACACCGTGGTTCAAATTTAGGGAGTTTGATGTTCCTATTATCCCTGAACGGCGAAACAGTAACATCAACCATGTCATGCTTAACATCAGACACATCGTTACAATTAACAGACAAGTCACCATGACTTACTTTCCTGTTTGCATCCAAGACACTCTGTCCCTTCTTTGACCCAGGCATTGTTGAACTTGACCCAATTCCAAAAAGTTCCAGATATTGCTTGTTCAAAGAGGACTTGACCGGCACCAGGAAAGATGAACGGCGACTATCCAAACTTTCACCAACTGTTTGAATCCGCCAGATCTGTTTCTATCGTCAGAAACTGTCAGTCACGTCTCATAAACCGTTAATGCCCAGCTCTCGCTACGCTCGGGCCCACGCTGTTCTTTGAAGATTTCAGAAACGCTTAGTTATAACGGACGAAAAAACCAAAACACCGATCTGCCGCTTGATATTTCTTTATTGTTACACCAACATATAAAAGGAATAAGCGAACTAAGGTCTGAAAACAAATATTACAATAATAAATCGTTATATTACTTCTGACGATGTTTCACTCTTCTTTCTGAACAGCGACCGATGAGACGATGACTGTCGTATTGATGCCTCCGCGAAAATTGGGGAAGTTGATTTTGAGCAAACAACCAAGAATTGATCGTTCAATCTTCAACTCCATTGACAACTATCTCAATCAGTCTTTGAGCAATTTCGCCAATCTATTACATCTCACCCCTAGAATAGAGCAGTCTGAGGGTAAAACGCAAGCATTGATGACGAGTAGGCCTCAGAGAGTTGGATATCGAGAAGGCTCTATGATGTATTGTAATGCATATAGACCTAGTAAGTGTAACAGGTTTCGTAATACATCCTCCACATATGAGTTACAAGCTGCAAGAGAAACACAGTTGTGTTTTACACGTTTGCAAGAGGTGCATACAGAAGTGAACTGTGAAGCAGTGAGCAATTTCAGTGATAAGCTAAATGTATATCTCCAGCATGACTCCGAATTGTGTGACGATAACGGTGCGGTGAAGATGTCTGTAGTTACAACTGGTAAGCCGTTGTTGAATAGAGTGTCACAGAATAGAGTTACTGCTTCAGAGTGGAGTTCTGAATCCACAAGTTTACAAAGTATAACTAGTCAGAGTGAAGATATAAAACCTTTCAGGATTTGCGAGGAGGAACCAAAATTGTCCACTTCTGTTATTAAAGAGTTTGAAAATGATGAACTTGACGGTAAAGTGAATATTCGTGATAATGATCATGATACTTCACATTTGTCTTTGGTGGATCATGATGAGATGATACAAATGCCTTCTACTGCTGAGTTGAACAAAGTTTCTGTACAACTTGAATGTGAAGTGGAAATAAATGCAGATGCAGTTGCAGAAGGCATGCTTACTTGTCAGACCGTCAGTGTGAGTGATCAGCGTGTAGCCCACCTATCATCAGATGCTATTTCTAAACCTGAGCTGATAGTAAAAGACAGCAGTGGTGGTAATCTTGCAGGTAGACAAGCTTCTGAAAGTCGAGCAACAACAGCTTTTGATCCACCGCTAACTTCATCAACTGATATCAATCAGTCGTCGTTGGTGTTGTCATCCACAATGAGAAGGACGCCAATCAACTCAAGTATCTTGTGCAATGACTATGATAGTATTGGTGCGTTTGAAAAGACGAAAGATATTGCTCACTTTAGTAAGGATAAGCCAAGTTTAAAGGAGAGAGTAATTGTTAAATTGACTTGCATGAATAAAGGTATTTCTAGTTGCAAGTTACTATTTGAATGTTATTATCTTTGGTGTAAATAACTCTGTGCCTGCGTTTGGTTGACCAGATACATCGTATGTTTGTTCGTCATCTATATTCTACGATACAATGACATGGGCGTGTTGCCGTTCAGATTTGAGGATATAGCTGATAGAAGGAAGTTAGCAAATGAACTCTGCGACGATTTTCCAACCTAGGCGTCAACCTGAGAAGGGTTGTAGGCGTACTGCTGTAAGTCCTACAGTTCTTCAAAGGGTAGCGCATCAATGAGCAGTCCAATGTGCTTGGTGTATGATCTTGTACATATGTTCATATTGTATATACTGAATTGATATCATCTGTCATCTAGCTGTTGGTAATTCTGTTTGTGTCCGGACGACTTCCACTTGGATCATCAACCTGAGAAGGAATGTAGGCGTACTGCTGTAAGTCCTACAGTTCTTCAAGGGTAGTTTGTCGTGTCAGAATCCACAACATTTGATGTGTTGATTGTACATATGTTTGTGTTAAATAGTTGTGTGAGTTCCAATTGATGTAATTGTTGGTTAATCTTGTTTGTGTCCGGACATTCCACAACTTACAATCGTCAACCTGAGAAGGGTTGTAGGCGTACTGGTGTAAGTCCTGCAATTCTTCAAAGGAATTCCACCAAGACATGATCGGCGAGGTTGTTTGTACTATTTGTATATACGTGTGGTGTGTCATATCAATTGGTGTTTTTGGATTCATTGTGTTTACTCGTTGTTTTCGTGCCTTGTTTTTATTGCATAATTTTGTTAAAATTTTCGTCGTGATTACTTCTGAAGTTGTTTCGAGTCTTCTACATCCGTGAATGAATTGATTGATGTTAAGGACAGCAGATGGGTCGTATACGCCGGGGAGGCTAGGCTATTGCTGAGAATGAAATGCACACGGAGATAATTGTTAGCTGCGGTCCGACACGCCGGGGAGAAAGAGTGTAAACGACTGAGGCTCGCATGCGTCACCGCTACTAGAACTGAGGCAGAATGAGTGACAAGCGATTTCAGTGGTAATTGGTAGTGAGTAGATAAGAGGATGTGCGTAGAGTATCGTGAGGTGGTGCTATGGTCACATTGCATTCTGCAAGAGTCATTCTAGCAAGTGGCGATTGTGTTGCAAGATGTCAAGAGGAGGTCTCTGTCTGGAGGCGCAGGTCGTCAGCGATGTGTGAGATTGTGCTGTGGGTATGCTTGTGGTGTGTTGGCTTTTCTGTTTGTTTTCCATTTCAGCTCTGTCCGTGTGACCCAGGTTCTCGCAATGGCATCCAAGTCAACGTGCATTGGTCGTGAAGGAAAAAAGGGTTGGATCCGTATTTTGCCGGGGAGTGTCAATGGAGTTGAAGATTGAACGATCAATTCTTGGTTGTTTGCTCAAAATCAACTTCCTCAATTTTCGCGGAGGCATCAATACGACAGTCATCGTCTCATCGGTCGCTGTTCAGAAAGAAGAGGAAAATATCGTCAGAAGTAATATAATGATTTATTATTGTAATATTTGTTTACAGACCTTAGTTTGCTTATTCGCTTATTCCTTTTATATGTTGGTGTAACAATAAAGAAATCTCAAACGGCCAATCGGTGTTTTGGTTTTTGCGTCCGTTATAACTAAGCGTTTCTGAAATCTCTAAGAACAGCGTGGGCCCGAGCGTAGCGAGAGCTGGGCATTAACGGTTTATGAGACGTGTTTGACAATGGTGTCTAGTAATCCACATAGACTTAATGGGTGTCACAGCTTTCGTGAGATATCCCAACACAAT